ATCTCTATCTCTATCTCTATCTCTATCTCTATCTCTATCTCTATCTCTATCTCTATCTCGATCTCGAGCTCTATCTCTCGATCTCTATCTCTATCGTACCTGATGAACCTGGGCTCCTGCACCTCCACCTCTTTGAGCACATCCTGCACCACCTTGCACACCTCGCGGATGGTCTTGTTGATGCTGGCCTTGCGCGCGTGCACCCGCTCGTTGTAGTACTTGTTGATCTGGAACAGCAGCTTGGACTGGGCGGACATCATGTCCGGGGACGTGCCTTCTAGAAGCATCTTCTGATTCTTGTTTTGTTTTTGGGGTTGTTTGGTTTAGTTGTTGTATTTGTTTTAGTTGTTGTCGTATTCAGGAATGACAGCAACGACAACGCCGCCCTTGGTGGTTTGGTTTAGTTGTGGGTGGGTGGTCTGTGGTTTTCTTTTGGTATTTGCTGTTGTGTTTAGGTGACCTTTTGTTCTTGTTATTGTCTACTGTTTAAGTAGAAATTGGTGGCCTTTACTGTTGTTGCTTAATTTAGTTTTCTTTCTTCTCTGTGTGTCGTTTGTTTTTGGTGTTTTGTTTTTTCTGTTGTTGTTGTTGTTGTTGTTGTTGTTGTTGTTGTTGTTGTTGTTGTTGTTGTTATTATTATTGCTGTTGTTTCTGTTATTGCTGCTGTTGTTGTAGAACGTTTTCTATTATTGACTGGTGCGTCTTCCTTCTTTCTAGTTTACTGTATGGTCTTCCTCTTGTTCGTTGACCGCTATGATATAATATACTGGTTTGGTCTTCTGGTCTGGCTGAAGAAGATCACCACTATCACCGCTCCTTGCGACCTGCTTTGTGATTGAGCTGACGTGGTCGTCCTCTTTTCGTCCTTAACTTGTACACGCACACGCACGCGATGACGCACAGGTGGTGAAATCTGAGAAATTATTCTCTGCAGTCGATAGATACGTAATATCCTTGTGGGTTTAGATGTAGGCAGATCTCGTGGCGTTCCTCCGCTGTTGTGCGGAATGTGAGAAGAAGGGAAGAAGGAGAAGAAGATTGAAGAAGACTTATCTCTGCCGAGAGCGAGACTTTTCCTTTGCAGCGATTTCGGGCGATTTCGACACGCTTGCCGTAATTAAAAGTTCCAGTGACGTGGTTTTTGTCTTTTGAGCAATCCGAGTGTGGTGGCTGCACAATGCAGGACGAGTCAAGTGGTGCTGTTTTTTTAATTCTGGGTTGTTTTGTTTTGTTTTGTTATTTTCGTCGAAGTCAAAGTTGGGTGGGTGGGTGATCAGCAAACTTTGGACGTGAGGTTTTCAAACTGGCAGTCTTGATGATTTTTTCCGGTAGTGTGGTCAGCTGACTGGTGTTCCGTTGCAAAACTCTGTCGATGGAAAAAAGAAATTATATCATCATCATCATTATCATCATCATCATCAT